TTTAGTAAAAGTCTCACTGTCACCCAGGCTGGAGTGCAGTGGCACGCTGACGGCCACCACAGCCTCAACCTGCTGGGCTCTGGTGATCCTTCCGCCTCAGCCTTCCAAGTAGCTGGAACCACAGACATGCACCACCACGCCCGGCTAATATGTTTATTTATTATAGAGATGAAGTCTCGCCAAGTTGCCCAGGCTGGTCTCGAACCCCTGGACTCAGGCAATTATCTTGTCTCTGCTTCCCAAAGCGCTGGGGTTATAGGTGTGGGCTACCGTGCCCGACAAGAACAGAATTTTCCAGATGAACCTCAGGTACCAGCACTGTGGACACTAGTTGGTTTTTTCATTTAAATGGCTCTCCTTCAGCTTATGAAGTTGATTTCCTTCCCATGTTCCCGGGTTGCAAACGGGTATTGGACCGAACCTGTGTACCTTAATGCTGCAATTTCATTTGGCTCCAAGAAGCAACTGCATGTTACAGGGAGAGGGTGTGAGCAGGGATGTGTCCCATAGCAAATGGCTGCCTGGTGTAGGAGTGTATCCCCATCTATCCCAGAAGCTGTTTAAGCAGAGACTGGAGTCATGGAAACTGAGGCTGAGTGGCGACATGCCTTTCTAGCTAGTGGCAGAGCTGGAGCCAATACCTCTCTACCTGCAAGTCAGGGTGGATGGAGGAGAGGTAAGAAGTATGCCAAAAAAAAAAACCCAAAAAAAAACACCCCAGCAACCTCAGCCTGAGCAACACAGTGAGACCCGGGCTCTAAAAAAAGTTAGCCAGGCGTGCTGGTGCACTCCTGTAGTCCCAATTATTCAGGAGGCTGAGGCTGGAGAATCACTTGAGCCCAGAGGGTTGACACTACAGTGAACTATGATCACGCCACTGCACTCCAGCCTGGGCAACAGAGTGAGACCCTGTCTCTAAATATGAACAAACAAAAAACCCAGCAACCTGTCCCAGTGGGCATGAGGCAGAGGCACAAGCAGGACTTGGGGATTCTGAGTTGCTGACACCATCCACATGGCTTGGAGAACAGTTCAGATTTCTGCTCAGGAAGGAGGGGCCAGGGAAGCTAAGAACATGGCAGTGGGGCCTGGTGCGGTTGCTCATGCCTATAATCCCAGCACTTTGGGAGGCCAAGATGAAAGGATTGCCCGGGCCCATGGGTTTGAGACCAGCCTTGTCAACTTGGCGGGACCTCATCTCTACAATAAACCAAAAAACTAGCTGGACACGGTGGTGCGTGCTTGTAGTTCCAGCCACTTGGAAGGCTGAGGCAGAAGGATCAACTGAGCCCAGCAAGTTGAGGCAGCGGTGGCCGGTGGCTGTGAGCATGCCACTGAACGGGTAACAGAGTGAGACTCAGACTCAAAAACAAAAACAAAAAAGAACATAGCAGGGTTCCTGCTGAGATGAAAGGTTCCTAGGGCAGAGGGGAGAAGGCCATGTGGGCAGCAACCAGGAAATCCATAAACTGAGCAAGGGAAAGGGTTTTGTGGAAGGAGAGGACTGGAGAGGGGCACAGTGGGAATCTGGAAAGCCTTGGAGGAAGGAAAATCTGGGCAGGATCGCTGCCCAATGCTCAGGTCCAAGGCCTGGGAATCTATGGCCCAGGAAAGTGCCCCTGAGAGGAGGAAGAGTCCAGAAGCCTGGGCCCCCCAGGCTGGCTGTGTGACTCAGTCCCTGGTTTCATTGAAAGGGACAGAGGCTAGCTGGGGGTGGTGGCTCACCCCTGTAATCCCAGCACTTTGGGAGGCAGAGACCTGAGCCCAGGGGTTTGAGACCAGCCTGGGCAACTTGGCGAGAGACCTCATCTCTACAGTAAATCAAAAAATTAGCCGGGCATGATGGCGTACGCCTGTAGTTCCAGTACTTGGAAGGAAGGCTGAGGCAGAAGGATTGCCTAAGTCCAGCAGGTCAAGGCTGTGGTGGCCATGAGTGTGCCACTGCACTTCAGCCTGAGCAACACTGTGTGACTTTAACGTGAAAAAAAGAGGGGGGGACAGAGGTGGACAAGTGAGCTGAAGGTGCTGGTGGTGCTGGCCCCTCAGGTACGTATGGGAAGGACAGGACAGTCTGGTAGGGGAACTCCCAGGAGACACCAAGTGGCCCTACCAGAGGCTGTGTGCCACATGTCAGTGGGAGGGGCAGGGGTTTCTCACCTGCTTCTTACTGCGGCCACACACACACCACCTGTAGATTTTCCCAGCCACCAGCTCCACCTTGATGGGTGTTTTCAGGGCCACCACAGACTTAGCTGGGACTCTGGGGAACCATCGACCCTGTGGCCAGGAAAGATGAGAGGCTCTGGGTCAGCTCAAGCCCTGGAAGCACTTTCCTGCTTTCCTGCCTCGGCCTTATCCAGCTTCCCACTGGCCCAGGTATGGGGCAGGCTTCCTTTGCAAGAACATTCCCCCAGGTCACCATAAGGACAATGAGCTCTGGATAGGGAAGAACTTTCTTTTTTTTTTTTTTGAGTTGGAGTCTCACTCCTTTGCCCAGGCTGGAGTACAGTGGCACACATGCTCACGGCCACCCCACCGTAGACCTTCTAGGCTCCAGCGAAGTGCACTACCACGCCTGGCTATTTTGGTTTTTTTTTTGAGTTGGAGTCTTACTCTGTCACCCAGACCGGAG